TCCGGTTTGAACAATTTTTAGCTAGACATAAAAAAATTAAGGACAAAAAATGCCCATTTTGAACTCCGTGATGCATTAATAGAGTATTTATGAGAGTAACGTAATAATTTTGAAAATTGAGTGTTTATGTAATTGTATGTCACTTTTATTTGAATTTGTCCCCTAATTTATGTATTATATTATATTTTCTTGCAATTTATGTTGTTTAAAAATTTAGAATAAAATATAATTTCATATCATATTAAAAATTATATAAAGTAATTATTTGAGAAAAAAGAAATATATGATTTATATTATGAAATAAGAAAATAAGAATGAAATAGAAATAGTAATATAATATTAAGAAGAGAGAAAAATATTCCTTTTTAAAAAGTAAAATATAAAATTATATATTTAGAGAGTAAAATAGAGGATTAGGTTGGACATGACCGAAGAAAGATGTGATATGGAGACAAAACATGTATGAGCCGCTTTTAGAATTTGTCAGATTATTGGTTTCCATTTTCAGAAAAATGGGTCAGCTTTCTCTCTCCCTTTCTTTTTAAATTTTTTCCCTTTGATTCAACTTTTCAACTTCTCTTTTTTTTTTTTTACTATTGTTTACTCCCTCCGTCCCTATTTAGTTGTCCATATTTTCTTTTTTAGTTGTCCCTATTTTATTGTCCATTTTGATAAATTAAGAAAGGACAACAATTTTTTTCCTATTATACCCTTATTTACACTTCTTGAAAGTTGTAAAAGTGTATGTTGTTTCCCTCCAATTTATTTCACTTGAATTCAAAGAAGTGGTTGTAATTTTGAAGTGAAAAGTTGTCATAAGAGTAAAATTGTAACTTCACTGTGCTAATCATTGTTGCCTTAATCTGTGTGCTATTTCTAAAGTGGACAACTAAAAAGGGACGGAGGGAGTAATATTTTGCTGTTTTTTTAAAGGGAAAAGGTCATGATTTACCGTTGAACTTTATGATTTGGAGCTGATATACCCTCCGTTTAAAAAATGGCTTATATATGCCCCTGCCGTTATAAAAATGGCTCATATATGCCCTTTAACTTAACAAATTAATATTTAATAAATTAAAATTTTATTTTTTTAGCTTTAATTTAAGAAAATGCCATGTGGCATTTAAAATACCCCACATTCCACCATACCCACCCCACCCAATTGGAAACAAAAAAACCCACCCACTGAAATTAACCCAACTCATTTCATTTCGGTGTTTTCAGTTTCCACGCTCAAATGAAACAAAAATAAAAAAATTTGTGAGGGTTCCGGTGAGCTCTAAATTAGACCCAATCGGTTTCAAAATTGTTAACTTACGACGAAAATTAGCATTTTTCACAAACTTCTTTGAAGTAGTAGATAGCTTAGATGATGCCCTAGATTTATTTGGAGTCATCTCAGAGATGAAATATTAGTGATAAATGAGAAGCATTTCTGCAGTTCGAATGATTCTTGAAATATGATTTTAGCTCCGACGTGGAATGTCAACGAGTCATTGATGATTCTATCTCATTTTTGAATGTTTCAAACATGTTCATTTCATTACTAAATGATACAAAAGTTGATAAATCCATTACATAAGGCATAATAAGATTCATCAAAAGTTGTCATAAACCATTATAATGAACCAAAAGTTACTTAGGCACAAATCACAAAATCTGCAACCGAGCCTTGGAATCTAATATTTAAAGTTTGTGAATTCAGAAATATAGTAGTATCCACGAGCCATTTTTCCTTCATTGTCAGTTGCTACACTCTCTTCTTCTTTACTTCAGCTTGTAACTGACTGGTAGTGAATGCTTCCTTGCCCTTCCAAGTAGTCTTATTTGGAGAATATGACAGATTCGAAGGGTCGAGATTCCTCTGCATCCCCTTTAAAAGCAATCCTTGTTTGATTCCCCTGTTTCCTATTCCTTCAAATATTCAAGACCTCTTTTCTATCCTTGTTTCTGTCTCACAAATTACCATTGGCTTCAATGGTGGATCTTCTACATTCCCGATCTCAGGATCGTAGAGCTCACCGGATCCTAACAATTTTGATTTTTGTTTCTGTTGAAGTGGAAACGATGAAATGAAATGGGTGAAGTTAATTTGAGTGGGTGAGTTTTTTTTGTTTCCAATTGGGTCGGGTGGGTATGGTGGAAGGTGGGGTATTTTAAATGCCACATGGCATTTTCTTAAATTAAAGCTAAAATAAAATAAAATTTTAATTTATTAAATATTATTCTGTTAAGTAAAAGGGCATATATGAGCCATTTCTATAACGACAGGGGCATATATGAGCCATTTTTTAAATGGAGGGTATATCAGCTCCAAATCATAAAGTTCAGGGGTAAATCAGGACCTTTTCCCTTTTTAAAATAATATTATTAATAAAAAAAATGTGAAATTTAGCCTACTTCATACTTTTAACATTTGATGTTATTTTTTTAAATCCTGTATTGATTATTTATTTTACTAAAAATAGTTATTAAAAATATTTGTCAATTAACAAATTAAAGTATAATTTTATTTTTAATTTCATTACACTAATAATTAATTCTTTTTAAAAATATAAACAAAATTTGTAAAATTGGAAAAACAACTCTTAAGGAGTAAATTAGTAAAGTACCATTTTTATGTAAAAAAATTTTAAAAAATAACTAATACGAAAAATGAAAGGGGTATAAATTATTATTTTTTCTATTCTCAATAATTTCATACATAATTAAATGCATCAAATATTCACCAAACAAGAAAATATAATGTAAAGAGCATCAATAATCTTGACAAATACTTACATAAGTCTTTGTACTATTTGATGTAACCCAAAATCGAAAAGTATCCATAAAACTTAAATATATACATACTCTTTCATCAATTTATATGATATCTTTTTATTCTTGAAAACAAACTATATGAAATTTAATTTTATATATTATATTTATTTTATTTTACCCTTATTTAGAAGGGAGAGTTGGGAAGGACTAACGTGGCTTCAATAGTTGTACAGTGCAATTCCATGAAGCATACAAATAAGGGCATTTTTGTAATTTCAAGGCATAAATTGATTCTTCTTTCATGAAGCCACGTGTTGTTACTTGGTGCAACTTTCTTCCCTATATTTAACTCATTCCCACCTTCTCCATTTCATTCTAGGTTATTCTTTATGAAGTTGTCGAATGAAACTCTTGAAATTGTAAAGAAACTACTATCAAACGTTCTTAATTTGTTGGGTGTTTTCTTTATTTACAGGAAATTAATAAATCTGCTCTTTGCCATTGTTGAAATTTCCCAACACAGAGAAAAAGCAAATACAGTTTAGGTAACAATCTTTTTGAACTTAAAATTTGAACATCTTATTGTTTTGTTTGTGTGATTAATTCTACAAGGTATGTGTGATTATTGCTTTGTTTCAGCTTTTCCTTGGGTGCATGTTTGATTGTGTGTTGTTTTCTCTTCTTTCTCTTTCATCCTTTCTTTGTTTTACCCATTTCATTGTGATGGGATTGCGATAGCAGACTCTTGATTTTCTTCTTATTTTGAATATTTTGGTCCATAAAGATTTATAATTTGCTAAATTGAATGAATTATATTAGAAGCTCACTGATTTGACGATTGCAATGTTTTGGTCCAAATATGGATACTCGAAGTTCATGAAATTGATTGTCTTGTGTATCTACTTATGTGAATGTGATATACATGAATAACGAAATTGGTTATCTCGATTCTTTGCTCCAATGAACTGTAATATACATTAATAACAAAATTGGTTGTCTCAATTCTACTATGTCCAATTCTCCACTCCAAGTTTTACTATTTCTCAGTGCTTCTATTTCTTTTCAAATTCTCCGTTCCAATTTACTGTACTAAATTGCACCTTGGTTTTGCTTTACTTTGTCTCTAGAGTATGTACACAAAGCTAAAATCCTTTCACTTTTTGCTCGCTATTATGTTTGCTCTGATTTGTTCTTCTGAGTTCTTTCTTGCTGGTCACTTCGATTCTTTGTGAATTGTGATTCAGACATTAAAAGTAAATACAATTTCGTATGTGTGCCTTAGTTTCCTACTCTTTTGATATAGTTTCTAGCTAAGATTTCTACATGCGCCTTACTAACTGCTTGATTTGCACATGCATTATTTTTCTTTGATGAATTTAATTTTTCTAGCCATTAATTAGTGCAAAAGTTAGATCGTCTTACAAAAATCTTTATATCAAGTGGATTGTGCATCTAAGTTGTTTGATAATATGCCTCAGTTAACTTATTTAAAGTTTCATGTTATCATTTCTCTTTTTGGGTTGCATCATGATTTTTCTATCAGGACTAAAGGCATATATGGGAGTATGCCAACTTATCTTATCTTGGTGGTTTAAGCTTTATAATGGAAAATTAGCATAATATGAAAAAAAATATCAGTTTGATATCTTATAACTGCCACCATTTTAGTGTGCTCTCGAAAAAGTATTCATGATGTTCCAATTTTGTTGTGAATTTCATAGCTTAGTCGCCTCCAATTTTGTTGTGAATTTCATAGCTTAGGTATATACAATTGTCAAATACATGATACTTCTGTAATAGAGTTTTCCCAAAAATAAGAAAGAGAGTGAAGCCATGATCTGCTATTACTTAATCAATTGTTCTATAGACAACAATCATTGGTACAATTGGGAGTTGTTGATGTCAAGTTGGTCATTATCCTCCGGTGATCTTTACTATAACATAGGAAAAAAGGTCTGAAATATACCCTACACTATTTAATAGTGTATTTTAAAGGTATATATGTGCCCACATGGACATCATAAATATTGCATCATTATAAATAGTAACGTGTCCACGTAGGCACATATATACTTTTAAAATACACTATTAAATAGTGCAGGGGGGGAAGGTCCTCCATAAAGTTTGGTATAGGTATCGTAACAACAATTTCGGCCAAAATTGATGAAAAATTGATGTATTTTTCTGACCCTTTTCCCTATAACATATGTTTGAAAAAATGTCATTGTTAGAAATCCGAACTTTCTTTGCACAATTAAGTAACAAAAATATCAGTTTTACCTACTTTTTAACTTCTTTTAATCTACACTTATGTTAAAGGAACACATAGTATATTCTTCGCAGGGAGGGCAACTTCAAATAGTTTTCCCAATGCGAAAGAAATTAATTGTGGTGACTGATTGCTCTTGAGCTTATCTTCTTATTTTACTAAGTATCAACATGGAGCTAAAAGTTCATATTTGCAGAATCAGTCAAGGTTAGGAAATATTTCTTGCTTTTACGTCATGCCTGATGTTCACAAGTTTGTGAAATTCATGTAAAGTAGCAGGAGTTTATATCTATATATAGAAGTGCCCAAGGAAGCAGCTGGTCGTTGTCCTGCCAGCTTTCTTCCCAGGGGTATTTTTGTCATTAACCATGTCTGACACGTGTTGAATTCTTAAGCCACCTGCCTCCATCTAACTCTAAACCTGGCTGCCGCTTTATTCTGTATGTAATTGTGTGTTTTGGTTTTGGTTTTACCTTCGTTTCTTCTCCAGATTGATCGACTTTTCTTTGTCTCACCTTCAATCTCTTGCCACTATTTCCTTGAATCTCTTGCCATTTTTTTGTGCTAATTTATCGATGTTATTGTCATGAATTTTGATATTAGACAAATTAAGTTTTATGACAAAGCTTGCAGTTGTCATGGTACTTACAGATAACGGATATTAGGTCTTAGGAGCTAATTTTTGTTTTTTAGATCTTTTGGATTGTACAATTTTTGCTTCAGATGCTAACGTGTCTACATTGACTCTGCTAACTTCATCGGCATAAATTGAATTGTTCTGATTTTTGTTGTGTGAATTCTTTGTGGTGCAACATCATTTCTGATTTGTCTTCAACTCTATTCTGTTGGACAACTTCTTCTCTTCCGAGTTTGTTCCTTTCTGCAAGAGCTTTAATTTACTGAGGGACTTGCCTATATTATTTTGCACAATCACTAAAGCAACTGTGAAACCTTGACAGAAGTAAGAGCTGCAATATTTGTATGTGTTATATAGTGATATATGCTAACTGATGTGTTCAGTAATAGTTTTCTTGGAGAATTACATTTGTAACAAAATAATAGTGACAAGTTTGTACCAATTTGAATTTACATTAGTTGCTTAGTAATTTCTATATGGTTTTACTTTAAGATAGCCCTCATTTTATCTTACGTTTCAAGCTTATGATTTTGGTATCTGATTCCTTTATATAACTAAGATTTAAAAGTGTTAAGTTAAATATTGTGCATCCCTTTCATTCGACGTTTTGCATAAGATGATTGAGACTTGGATAAGCTTAAGTTTGATTGGGATTACAATTAATATATACTTGCTTGAGACTTATCCAGTTCTGTTACAACCTATTCACCTTAATTCTGTTTTCCTCGATATACTTGCTCCTGCTTTCCTTTGTTATAGTATAATCGGCTTATGTATTGGTAAAGATCATTATGAAGCTTTGACAGTTAAACATGGCTGACTTTATCTCTCCCAACTATCTCATCAACCTTCATCCTTTCTATCTACTTTATCATGTGTTATTGCCTATTTACTTACAGGAAAATGACAACATCCAGCTGATATGAATTTGAACGAAGTCTCACCTAAACTTCATATGGGACACTGAAGGATGCTCCATATGTAATGGAGGCATGCAAAAGTGTATTCCTCACACTTTCATCGATATTTGTTGGGATTTATCTTTGCTTTCTCCGCTACTTGCCCTGCTTCTTCCACTTCATTCATTGATTTCAGATAATATCTCCTTCAGATTTCTTGTGATTTGTCCTTAATCTATAATTTCCTCCGGCTAGCCTTTCTGCTTTCCTGCTTGTGTTTAATTTTGGTCATTAATAACCTTATTCTTGCTACTTCGGATATAAATTAATTGGTCTAGCTTTCACCAATTTTCCTACCTTCCTGTTGGTTAACACTATGACAAAACTGTTTTGAATTTTAGAGTTTCAACTTAAGTCATTGGAGCTGACTGGCCTTTGCATTCGATAAAAGACAAATGAACTTACTGCAACGACGAACAGTGTGCCTTCATTACCCCCTCGCTTGGAAACATGTTAGTACTCTCAAAATTTCTCACTTCATAGATCTAACCTGAAGTGAACTTGAAAGATTCAATTCTTTTTTTGACAAAAAGTCCCTCTTCTCATATTACAACGTCTAATTAAAATTGAATCCACCGGTGAGCAGCCTAGAGAGGAAAATAACGTTTCATTGAAGCCAAACTCTAGCTCCAAAATACAGAAGGTATTGCCCCCAAGGCCTAGCTCGAGTGGCAAAAGGTGGAGGATTTGTGACTTAGGTCGCAGGTTCAAGCCCCACACCATGCAAAGCGAAGCCCGGTATTTAAGTGGAGAAGGGTAGAGGGGCGGGCCCATTATTCACCGAGTTTAGAAGGCTGTGATTGGTCCAAAGGGCGGGTCACAGACGGATTTCTCGGTTATAAAAAAAAATAAAAAATAAAAAAAATACAGAAGGTATTCCACTCACTCTTCCCACTTTTACTTGTATGTTTGTGTGTGTTTGCCCCCTTTTCTGTTTGTCCTGACACATAATTATGCTTCTGCTCTGCCTTTACAAGTTATCATAATTGCAAACTTCCGTCAGGCGAAAAAAATGTTCTCCTTTTTATTTTCCAGTCATTCATAAACTACCAATTTTAGTAGTGGTGCAGGTATTAGCAGTGTTACAATTCGGAAAATGCAGTACTTATTAACGAGTGTTTGATGTAAGAAGGCTTTCATACTTTTGGCATACATAATTATTAAATTCATACTCGTGTGACAAACCAAGCCCCTGAAAAACTAATTAATGAAATATCGCATTTAGAAACTCACTTACTTTGCAATTTAGACAAAAATAGAATTCTGGTGATGGAATATTGGGTAAAGACAGGTGATATTTTAGTAGGTAATCATGAAATAATCTCTGAATGTCATCTTAGCGTCTCAGCAAAGTTGTAGTTCTCTGAACGATCAACTAAGTTTAGAAAGGAAAGATTTCCAATACATCATGAGATGCTTCCTGCTAACCTCTTCCCTTTCAGATTCAAGTAAGTTAATCTTCGCCGTTGAAGACCATATGTGACTCCACGCCAGTTACAGAAATATGAAGAAACATTCCATGAATCCAAGATTGCTAAATAGTCTTCAGTTATATGGGATTTGAACTTGACCCTCGCCCTCGCGTTGAATTAAAATTCATTCACTATCTTGTTAATTCTTTCAAACTATTGTTTGAATGTATTGATAAAGTTCTTCAAACATTTTGAGTATCTATTTTCAACTTGTTCAATATATATTATGTCCTTTCCTTGCAGATGTTGAAGGAATAAATAGATCCAACTCGCAATAATACTACTGATTCAAATATTTAGGACCATATGTGCAGCTTCATTCAGCTTCTTCAAATAGTTGGAGCAACATTCACTTTGGATATTTATCCTGTTTATGAATCTAAAAAATCTTTCCAATCACAAAGACATTAACATTTTATACATCTTCTTAGCGTCACATTCAACCGCACACCATTGAACATAACATGTTGTAAGAACTTTTGAAAATTTACAATAATACATTATTTATGTTGGGCCCGGGCCTTACTAGTATATATATATATTACCCTTATTTATAAGCCAATAATAATAGGACTATAAAGTATTGTACACAAAGCTATTTAAGTGGTACTATAAATGTGTACCTATTTCATTGGGTATTGATTACTTTATCTTTTGTGTGCCTATTTGTTTAACACGTGTATATGTTTTTTTTCCTACCAAAACAATGCGTATGCAGAAATAGGGGTGTGCATAAATCGAACCGACCGATAAATCGAACCGAAAAAATGTTATTGAGTTATTGTTATTGGTTTTTTAATGGATTTATAAAAAAAAGTTATTGGGTTATTGGTTCGGTATCGGTTTTTACTATTGGGTTATTGGTTCGGTATCGATTTTTACTATTGGGTTATTGGGTAAACCGATAACCAATAAGACGATAATAATTGACTATTTTACCCTTCCTAATTATTAAATATTATTAATTTAATATAGAACTAGACACTATAACTATATCAAATTATTAGTACTCTACCCACTTCACACTAGGCCGTTTTACTAGTCTTTATTGTTTACTCAAAACCTAAAGACTAAAGTAAGGGTTCACAATTGTAGCTATTTGATTTTAGTTTTAGTTTTAGTCTTGTTGGACTATTTGATTTTAGTTTTAGTTTGTAATTGTAGGTTGTAGCATTTGCAAGTTTGTAAAGGTCCGTAATTTGATTAACATAAAAAATTCCATACTATGTTTTGGCGGTGACATGTAATTATAGCCTTCGTACTATATTTTCTCTTATTGATGCAATTTGTCATTATCTTTCTTGTTTCACTATATCAAAGCATTTAGAGAAGTGGGAAGTCATATAATATTTTACGGACATTTTCTTATTGGGTAAACCGAAAACCGAACCGATAACGGCCAAAAACCGATAAACCGAAAACTGATAAAGAATATCTTATTGGTTTGTTATTGGGTTAGCATATTTAAAAACCAAAAATTGATAAACCGAACTGATAATATATAAAATCAAACCGAACCAACCGATGCACACCTCTGTGCAGAAAGCATCTCAAATTCTTTCTCCCTGCAATCTCTCCTTCCAGGTAAGCTTCCATCTCTTCTCCAGTTTGCTATTCTATTTTTTCTCTCCTTTTTGCTCTCATTGTTTTTCTTTGGTTTCTCATCATCTTCTTCCAAGATTTTGGGTTAAACTTTGTCTTGTTTTGTTGCTTTTATGTTTGATTGTTTTGATATTGCTTTCAATTTTTGTTGCTTTATTGGTATGTGGCTGTAGCCGGTAGGTATGTTGCATGGATAGAATTCCTATGTTGAACCCACTTCTTCTTCATCTCCTATGCCCAGGAGTGTAGACCCGTCTCAATTTTGTATTGATGAGTTGCAACAAAAAAAATTCTTCTGCCACATACCAGCAAAGACCTCAAAATTCAATTGGGTATGATATAGATTTCTTGGTCTTTCCTCTTTTTTTTTTTCATTTATCTTTACCATTTTGACAAGTACCAAAATTTTCATTTTGTAAACCCTAAATGTTAGACTAAACAGAATGGAGCAACTTAGGTTAACATGTAATAGGGATTTATAAATTCAACAACAGATGCATGCACTATCTCTTTTCGAAAATCTTTGGATTCAACCAACCTCCAAGCACAAGAAACCCTTCAATTCCAGGGTAAATTGAAAATACTACATTTGAGATTTCTTCATACCCGTAGTGTTCTCTTTTTCTAATGATTTGGTCTGAGTTTTACTACCAGCACATTCTGTATATGATGGAATTTAATATGTCAAACTTTATCATTTACAGACATTCTTAAAAGTATCCGTCTTTGAAGGGTATTTTCTATTTGGGTTAAATTGAACTCTATTTTAAAAAAAGAATCAATTTTTTTGGGTGCCCATTTTCATGGTAAATCTTACTAATTAAGTGTTTTTTTGCTTTGAAGCTTTTCGGCATGGCTGCAAATCTTGGGAAATTGAAAACTGAGCTTAGAGAGGCAGAAGATAATTTAGTAAAAGCACTTGCAGGTAAATATCAATCTCTCACAATATATCTTTTTATGCCGTAGTATTATTTTTAGTTTTTATGTCCATTGCTATTTTCTTTGATCTCTGGATCAAACTTTTGAAGAGAATCGGGTGTCTAGGTTGAGGAAGGTTTTAGGTTTACTCAAAGAACACTAAGAAGAGTCCATGGCTGTAAAAAAAAATTAAATTTATGTCCTTCATTCTTTTCTATATAGAATAATTAAAGGTAAATACTTGTACCATAAGTAATGTAAGTTGTATTTTATTTGGGCCCGTTTCATTAAACAAGTACTACTTGCTAATTGCAAATATTCTTAAGGCTTCATTCAGTAGATAATACATGTTCTATTTGCTACTTAGAGGAGATACACGTATGGCGATCTCTGTTCATCATTCTTTGTCATTTACTTAGACTAGGAGCAACTTCCAAAATCTTTGGTATGATAATATTTGCTCTTCTTTGCTTCCAATTTTCAGAATTTTGTTATGGTTTTTGTTTAATATGTTAATCTTGATAATTACTTTTGAATTTAAAAGCTTGCTTTATTATTTAGTAGCTATATTTTAGAAGCTGATGTTTTATGAGAAGAATCTCTTATATGCATGTTATATGATTTTTTGTGTGTTTTTCATTGCCTAATTGCATCATGTTAAAGGAGAAAATCATGTTTTATGTATGTTTTTATAAGTCATAAAGATCCTTGAATTTTATGGTCTTAAACTAAAAATATATAGGATGTGCCAAAATGCCCTTTTGATCTTGTGGTCTTTAACATGTCATGTGAAAAGTTAGAAATAAAGAGTTGCAAAAAAAGGTAAAAAGACATTCTTTTAAACGTACTAAAAAGAAAAGTGATACAAATAAATTGAAACGAAGGAAGAAAAATATGTTCTATTACCCTCTAGGGATGGTATGTTTAAAAAAAAGGTAAAAAGACATTCTTTTAAACGTACTAAAAAGAAAAGTGATACAAATAAATTGAAACGAAGGAAGAAAAATATGTTCTATTACCCTCTAGGGATGGTATGTTTAAGGTGAATTCAGTTTGTGTTATTAACATGTGTATATGGCTGTTTTCTGCTCAATTATCAATACAAAATTTATTACTTTATAAGAAAAATTGTTGTGAATATTGTCTATGTATACTTACAAAAATAAAATAAAATGTTGTCGATGTGATATTCCACTCGTGAATTGACATTGTTATTCAGTTTAAGCTATTAATCAAATGGTTTATCTTAATATAAATCTGTTTTCCCTTTCTCTTTCACTCTTTTAACTAAAACTTTTAGAAGATGTGTTGAAATTGGAAGAAAAATAATAAAAAGAAGAGCATAAAGGTCTCTTTCTCACTATTAATAGTTCTCCAAATGCAGCTACGGACATTTTCAAGTTCAGTAGGAATAAACAAGCAAGGAATTGAAGTTACTTGATGGTATTGTGGGTAACTCTATTGTTAGGTGAGGAATGAAATTTTACTTCTTAAAAAAAATACTATTAGGAATTTTTTTAGAGACATTACTGTACATTGTTTAATCAGCTGATTGGACCATCACAGTATAGCTTTAATAGTTATCCTTGTATCTTCTCCTTTGGTGCATTTACAAAATACATGATTCTTTATTCTAGAGAGTAATATAATTCCTTTGTTCTTATATGTTATTAGATAATGTTGAAACATCTATTTAGATTTCAAGCACCAAGTTCTGAAATTTTACTGTTCTCCATTCCAATTGATCCTGGAGTTCCACTTCATATGTGGAAATGGAAATTTGAGAAGACATCAACACACCTCCAAAGAATGTAGAAGGTATCATCGACGGTGAAAAGTCCTACATTGCCGTGTCAGATGAAGGAACATGGCATGTCCCTTCATAACCCAGGTAAAGATTTTACAATAATCTTATTACACTTATGTGAATACTCTGACATTTTTTAACTCAATTAGATGTTATTTCTTCATGCATGAGTATTTTTGAAAATAGAGTAATGCACCTATTGTTTCAATTGCTCTCTGGTGATTTCTGAAAACAGAGTACTTTTTTTCAATTTTGTTTATTTAATTCTTTATAGGATCTTCATTGGGTACCTTTCAACCACCAGATGGAATCACATCAGCTAATTTTCTTTCGGAGATCGACAATAGAAACCATTGTAAGATGAGCTTAAGTTAATGAATGAATAGTTTCCTCTGCTTCAATCTAAATGGTTTCTGGTACGATGAATTTTTCGGTACTTGCCTTTGCATGTGGATTGTTTGATGATATTGAAGGAAAGAACATGGCTTTTGATTTTGGGTTATGTTTTTTTGGCAGATTGTAGCGACAGCAGAAACAGAAAGCTATGAGAAATTGTCTTAGAATCTTTGAAATGCTTCCTTTCTAAAGATTATGGAAAGACGCTTGAGAAATTTAGGAATGATATTACTATTATTTCAGGTACTGTTTTCTTTAATCTAGCTTCTGCACAAGTGAAGTTCTACTATACTCTTTAATTGTTTAGGTTGTGATTTTTGAAAGTTTTCACTGATGAAAGTGTACTACTCTTTTCGTTGGCCTTTGGATTGAAAGTCATCATGACCGGTGCGACTCCTGAGTGTGAAAATTTATTTTAATACTGCAGAATACATATCGAAAAACAATGAGTGGCTTCTTATAACGGTAGAAATTGGTAAAACGAAGTTTGGTAAGATAATATATCTTACAATATTCCAAAAAAAAATAAAAAAATAAAGAAGGATAAGAGAAAAAGAACAAGCAAACAAACAAATGGATGATAAATTTTGGATGGTTAAAGTTGTGGAGGGTGTTGTAGATAGCATTTTATAAACATTTAGTCATTTACACATTTTCATATTTAAGTTTGAACTTTTTTTTTTTTCAAAAATATGACGTACTCGAATTTTATAAATCAAGTTTGTGTTAGTGTGGAGACTAACTAGAGCTCACTGCTTTATCTTTCTATAACATTTATGATAATCAAGCTAATGGTATAATTCTGCTAGCAGTCAAGAGGTACTACTATTTATTTCTTTTTCATCGATAATGCGATTTTTTTTTGTTTATGAGAAATCATATGATTTGTTGTAAGTATTTATATTGTTTCATGGTGGGTCTTTATAGCTATATATGTTGAACATCGAGTTGTAGGCGTGTTATATCTGAAGAAATTCCTCTTTGCTCTCAAATCAATCTGTTGATGGAAAGACTGCACCAACTAAGTGTATCGATTATTTTTTATAAGTGTCTTATCAGGTTCATCAGATAAAATAATAGATGTAATAGTAGTAGTTGCACTAGATGGAGTTTCAGCATTGGTAGGCATTGTTTATGTGGGAATTTATAAAAAGAAGGAATAAAAGGTTGCCGCAATCTCCCGGCATCTTCTGATCTATCTCATCTACCTGATCCTCTTTTATTAACTTAATGTTGTCAATGTGTTCCATCTGCCAATGTGTACTGACCGAGTCTGTCTGTAAATATATTTTGTATTTTGTTTGTCAGCTGTCAGTCATCAAGTTCGACCAACTCAAACAAAGGAAAAAGTATACAATCCTCTGACCATTTCTCAAACAAGTAAGCCTACTCTTTCCATTACATTTTCCATTATTATTAATTTGACATTGCCAATCTATTTTCTCTAACAACATGTATAATACCTGACTTATCTGAATTTGCTTACTTACTTTTTAACTTCAACCTTTAAACATAAGAGAACTACTTAACTTGTATCTAAAATCTTCTGATTTTGCCATTTTGATATAAATATGCAATTTGTGTAAATAGTGAAGTTGATATCTTAATAGGAACATGGCCCAACTATTTTTGATGTGTTCCTTTTCAATAATTTCCAGGAACAACAAATAGCAACGTCCAGGCACTGAAAAAGGAAATATGTGCAAGGAAGGAGTTGCAGAGTTGATGTTCTCAGGACACATTGCAATTGCTAGAATACTTCTTTTTTCTTTTGAATTTCTTTTGTTTCTAACTTACTAGATCATCCCTTTTAACTAAATCATTCATAACTTGAATAAGTTGCTTCATTGCAAATTGTGGCTTATATAGTTGAAATAAGTTCCATCAATACTCTGTTTACAACAGGCTTACTATGTTAGCACGGGCCATGCCCTTCTACTACTATATATATATATATATATGCATGAACTCCTAACTTGAATGTTAAATTACTATAATATCCCTAACTTATATATTACCTTAAAAGCATGAACTCCTAACTCGAATGTTAAATTACTATAATATCCCTAACTTAGGTTGTGACTTTTTCAATGAGTTGTGACTTTTCCGATAAGTTGAGACTTTTTCGATAAGTTGTGACTTTTTTCAAAGGGTTGTAATTTTTCGATGAGTTGTGACTTTTTCAATAAGTTGTGACTTTTCCAAAGTGTTGTGGCTTCTCAAAATGTCATGACTTTTCAGATAAGACACAAAATATTTGTTCATACTACCCTTTGTTGACTATAAATGGAGGGTCTTCCTCTCATTTTTCAACCACAATATTTTTTTAATCTTCTTCTTGCATTAAATTTTTTGTGTGATTTATTGTCATTGAGTGAGTTCGAAGTTTAGCAGAATATGAGGTACCACTATTCTGATGAAGTAAGTCGTTCTATCCTAAGAAGGTATATTACATAACCTTGAGTACTTGAGGAAAACAAATTTGGATGATATAATAAATTTTTTTGCTTAATATATACATTAGTATGAAATGTTCCAATATATGAAGTTAACATGATGCAGTCTAAATTCATTTGTTTTTGTTAATAATTTCCCTTGTGATGTTGTAACGACCTGTTCCCGTCGTTATAGAAAATCCAATGAGGAAAAATTTTAGGCCGAAAAACTTTTTCGTAGTAACTTGAGATTTTTCCAACCTAGTCCAGATTTGGACGAAATCGGAGTCTGTGAGGTCTAGGAAAATCTGGTAGCAATTGGGTGATCTAATTATGAATTTGATCACATGAGTAGATAGATAAGTCGTTAAGTAACCCATACGACTTTACATAATTGAATTTGGGCTAGTAGAACACCCATAATTGATCTTAGCGTGAACGGGTAGTTTCTGAGTGTCGTTGGTTGAAGGTGTGTTGTGAAATTGGGTCTTGGAATTATTA